ATAGCCCCTTGCTGCCCCTGCTTGCAAAATATATTTCCGACTTTGAAGAGGAATCGTCTCAATGCAACAGGTCTAGCAACTCTTGCAGGGTTCCTCTGCAGTCGCAAGATATGAAAGGTTCCGATGGTAGTTTTCGCCCCTTCCTACAGGAAGGTAACTACACAAATTGGGCTGGTGAAGAAAACCCAACCCTTTTGTTTCCATATTACTTGGGAAGCCCGGGACGTCAGTCAACGAGCAGCTTCGACCTCAGACAGGTTCGCTCAACGAGGGCTTCGAGCTCAGTTTCTTCTGAGTACCAAACAGAAGTGCCCATGGCTCTTGTGCCTTGCATCATGGTTCCATTAAACATGATTCAATCGGCCATGCAAGGCCCAATGTTCTATCCAGGGGCTTTGCCTCGACAAGACCGTTGACAAAGATCAGAAATACAGTCTCCCGGAGGACATTCATATGAAAAGCATGGATCGGGCCTTGGTTTAACTATCGGGAGAGAAGTTTAAAGCATTCCTTAGCAAGTTCTTACACAGGGCGTGAACTGCATGGACGAAGAAAAGAGGCGCTGGTAATAGGGGACGGTAATACCCTGATTCTATGTATTGTATTTCGTATAAGGTAGAAGTAGGGACAGTCCTGGGCCGTCTGTTTTGTATAATTGTAGCGTGTCTGATTTGTATCCCCAGAGTAAGGTCCTTTTTGACATTGAAGTTACAGATTCTTATTCATGGAAGCTAAGGCTGACCAGGCCCTTTTGTACCACGCGAGAACACATGACTAATCCACTCACACGTAATGAAAGACCCATAGGCAATGGTTCACTTTGTTACGTCTACTGTGGCATGCATCTTTCTACTACTTATTAGCTTTCACGCCCAATGACATCATGGCGCCACAGAGAGTTATCAGGAAATTCTACAAGATTTCAGCTAGGTGCTCTTGAAGAGCTTGTCGAGCAGCGCGAGCTTACTGGAAAAGATGCGTCCGATATGCAGAGAAAATTGGTATCCCAGCATAAGCAGCTTTGTTGAGTAAAGGCAAGCTACGGACAAATGATAATGTGTTCCGCGACACTTGCATGGTTGAAGGTAAGACCGCAATCGTTCGATTACTCCTAGATACTTCAGGCCAAAAGAAAAGGAATTATTTTCTATGATCGTATCAGGTATTCCCTATTCTAATTCCAGCGGCTTCTACGACTTCAATTCGAATTCTCGCGAGCTCACATTCTCACACATTGACACCTTGGAAATCGTATCCTGGTCCGGAGCGCCGGAGCGAAAGGAGCGGGAGCCGTTGACTCTACGAAATCTCAAGCCCAGATTATTGCATGACTGTGCGCTCAAATACCCTGCGGTCATTGTTTGGCGTAACGAGAGAAAGCAGGAGGAAGGCGCGGGGAGGAAGTAGGCGTGGTTGGTTGGCAGCGGCGGCGTAAGCACGGACCCGGGTTCGGGTCCGGGCCCGGCCCCGCTTTCGGTCCGGGAGTTGCTGACGGCTTCAGCGTCCACAGTGTCTGGTATTGAATGCCCGGCATCATCACTCAATCGACGTGCCAACACTATATCGAAGATGAAGCGGGTCTGCAAGATTGGTTAATTCAGATGTCTTGTGCTGTTTACCATAGCTACTACTGCCTCTCGTCGCATCCGCGCGGGTCGGCGGTTGCGGTGACGTCGCGGCGAAGATGAATGCGGCAGCCACAACCACAAGTACCACAACGCAAATGGGACGGAACATGCAAGGACACTGATTGAAATGCGACTTGGCGCTTTGAATGCATTATTTTCCCATGTGTGGGATGCATTACTCGCGATTCATATCCGATATCTTGGTATCATTCATCGACGGCCTCTGAGCCACCACCACCACATTACTACGTTAACTCATGTTTTAAGCACTGATTTCCTTCTCGTCCTTCTCATCCACTTCCATTTCACGCCCGGGAGCGTTGCCCTCCTTCTTGCCGCCTCCGCAGATCTTGCTGAGACCGCGGGCGATGTCCTTCATGTTCATCGCGACAATCTCGCTCGTGGGCTTCTCAAACAAGAGATCAATCTCTTAAAGACTCTTGTTTTTCGTCTCGGGCATGAAGACCATGAAAAATGGCGTAAAATGGCGTTAACGAACATAATCCATTACGGACTAGCCATGGTAATAACGGGCTCCAGACGTTCACACGGCTTGGGTTACAGGGGCAACTTTATAGACTTTTTACATTTCAACCCTACTCTATGTTCTCTGCTTGGGTATTGACTGGGGAAGCCTTTTTTGATAACAACACCTTTTTATGTTTCGCCTTCCTCTGTGACATAATCAGGTCACGATGAACATGATTTTGTAGGTGGACTCCAACTGATTGACAATGCTGAACCATGTTCGAGTTGGATGACAGCTTAGCCTGCCGTGTTCATTCCATCAATGATGTGGCCATTCTGCGATCGTGCAGCCTGTGGTGGGTGTTGAAGCATTTGTCAGAGGTTGTGTGTAGCGAGGACATGCCTTATTCAGAGTTGATTTGCTTGACTCCGTTTCCTGACCACCTTGGGGGACACTCAATGCCCTCTTCAATATACCGTCTTCCTAGCCAAAGGCGTTGGAACGCGACCGAAAGATTTCCAAGAACCTACCTAGTACTCAGAAGGGAATAGTCAAGCTTCCCCTCACAGATGTCGCGTACATGCAAAAGTCTTGCGGACAACCTACGCTTCATCAGGAACTGTACTAAAACAAGTCTTCTAGGTAGCTATCAGTTCATTATTAACCTTGCGGGCTTTTTGATTTGCCCTGAATTCTTTCCCTACAAATTAAGAAAATGTCGCTTCAGATCGACGGCGCTTAACGCGCACATGAATCAGTGACATGGCAAATCCGGTTTGTTGCAGAAAAAACCCCAGGTTTTGCGACCGCATATCATCACACCTTATCGCTGTGATATCAAAATCCCGATCGACCCGGTCTTGTGGTTGTTATCGCCGTCGGAGACGACAGGGTTCATTGACCAATGAAATCAATCTTTGGGGGCCACATTCTTGTTGTCCCCTTGGTGGTTCTGCCCCGTGTACTCCGTACAGCTTTTTGCGGGCGACATGCGGGGGCTAAAGAGTGATGAGGGGAAAACGGCCCTTTTATGGGTTGAGCAGCACGAGACAGTGGTGAGCAGAACATCATCTGCCACATGATGTCAATGGCGTTGCTTTTCGACTTGAACAGTTGATCACATACACATTCAACGGAAATGTGGGTATCAGAAGACACAGCAGAGACTCGAGGTTTCAGCGGGAGGAGTTGGTTGATCGCGGCTTGGCTCTTGGTAAAAAAAACTTCCGACCCATGAGCCCCTATCCCCGATCGGCTTACCGGCCGCCTGCTTTGCCAGGTAATCTTGCGAATTTTGCTGGCCCCCACATGAAACCCAGGAAAGCCCTGCCCATAGGCTGTGACTTAAGCGCAGAAAATAGAGAAAAGTTTGTCAAAAGTAATTGCAGGTCCATGGAACTGGGACGGTGGTTACGTCGTCTCATCATGGGCAGTTCGTGGCATGCTCGTGGCTGTCACGTTGCCTGCCCCGACGAGAAAGCATAAGCTTGCCAGCATCGGGGGAGGTTCCTTGGCCTGCCGTCTCGGCATCGCACGATCGGCTCGGTCTTTGCCCATCACCCTGCCGCCTCAGGGAGCGCCAAGCCGGCCAACAAATATATTAGTGCGCAGCCAAGAACGCGGCCTCGACGCGGCTTCATTCCGGGCCGGGACCTGAATTAGCGGAGAGATAAGCGGATAGCTAAGGCGGTCTATCGGTGGCGGCTCAGGAACAATGTCTCGTGTCAACGAAGAAGTTTTTCAGGCACGTGGTTGTTACGCCGTCATACCATGGTTGTTGTAGCAATAATGGAGCACACATTTCTCGCCAGGGGTTGGCAGTAAACCGAATAACTCCTATTCCAGAAAAAGAACTGGAATCACGAAGATGTCTGGCCGTGTTCCGGGCTGCAGTGTCGTCTGCGCCCACCGGGCAGAAAAATAGGGAGTCAATATTCCAGGAGTCGGCAGAAACGCGACCTTGGACGGCCATGTGCCCTTCTAGATTTTCCTCGTTTGACGTCAGCCCATCGTTCCCCGACTCTTTTTCCCCAGGGAGAAGTTTTCAATGGTCCAACTCTGTTTTCTTCTCCACGCGGAGTCTCCGTATTCCCTCCGTAGGCTCCCGCAAGAGCGCGAGAATGGTTCGGACTGTCACCGAACATCGGGATCCAGAACGCGGTGACGGCCCTCACGGTAGAATTTTCGGTCAAACCACCCCCTTCGGGCGGGTCTCGCACAAACGCTATCCTCGCCCGCTGTGGAGTCGCGAGTCAGATGGAAATAACGTCGCGGCCTGATCTCCGGTACCAGAACCTGCAGTCGTCGCCCCATCCATCCCACCACCCACCGCGTTCTGGCGTTGCAGTCCCGAACCTGGAGCGCAGGCTGGAGCCCCAAGGGCAATAGAGCTCATGCGCCCGCAGCACCCGCAACCCGCAACAACACCCCCAGGTCGGTCTCCGGGCACGCGTCCCTGAGTCCTGGGGTCCTCCACTGGAGAAGAAGGCCTGGAAATGCGGACGAAATCGCTCTTACTTCGGCCGTTTTTCTCCAGCTTCTCCACCCTAACACCAGACTGAAATTTTGGATGACGATGTTGGTGTCGAGGTTAGACAAACAGGTAACGAACATCGGCGAAGAACCCACAATGGATCAATGCGGTCGCCGGGTTGGTTGTTGTTCCAGTTTTGGTCCGTCGCGTGGTATCCGTAGGCAGTTGGTAAGCGGTATTGAGTGATCTGCACAGTTGTTTAAAAGCCTGGCGCCTCCCGTCGTTCAATATCCTTCAGGTTTGCTTGGCAGCTGTCTCTCTATTCCGGACGACCTTATCAGAGCCGCAATCTGCTTGGTGCTTGGCATCTGCTCTTAATCAGATCCGTAGTATTTTCTCTCGCACGGACAAGCGGAAGACAACACACACGATGCACGGCGTAACACTAGCCCCGAAGATTTCGGGCAAACACAACCCAGACGGCCAAAATGAGGCTCATGTCGAGAACCTCCAGACGGCTCTCCCTGGACTGAACGAAAAGGATGCCCTCGCCGTCGCCCAGGCCGGAGGGTGGGAGGTTGATGCTCTCATCGACAGCTTGGAGCGTGAGCTGGAGGCTGCCGGCGGAGTCAAGAAGGGTATCTTCGATCTCGAGTTCAGCAACACCAAGTACTTCACCTGGCTCATCGTCGCCTTCGCCTCCATGGGTGGTCTTCTCTCTGGTCTTGACCAGTCCCTGATTTCTGGTGCCAACCTTTTCCTGCCCGGCGACCTTGGTCTTACGGACCGCCAGAACAGTTTGGTCAACTCTGCTATGCCTCTCGGTGCCGTTGGTGGTGCCCTTATCCTCAGTCCCTGCAACGAATACCTCGGAAGAAGAATGTCGATTATCATCTCTTGCGTCCTCTACACCATTGGTGCTGCTCTCTGCGCTGGCGCCATGAACTTTGGTAGGCATCCTCATTGCCGTTAGGAAGGTGCGATGACTGACTCTTACCCAGGCATGATCGTCTCCGCTCGCGTCATCCTTGGCATGGGTGTTGGTCTTGAGGGTGGTACTGTTCCCGTCTACGTTGCCGAGACTGCCGAGCGTCGCATTCGTGGAAATGTTGTGTCCCTCTACCAGCTCAACATCGCCCTAGGTGAGGTTCTTGGTTATGCTGTCGCTGCCATGTTCCTTCACGTCAAGGGTAACTGGCGCTTCATTCTCGGCTCTTCTCTTCTCTTCTCCTCCATCATGTGGGCTGGTATGTTGTTCTATGATGACCTTTGGTTTGTCTTTAAGCTAATAGCCTTAACGGCATGCTTTTCCTTCCTGAATCGCCCAGATTCCTCATGCACAAGGGCAAGACTCTTGAAGCCTACAAAGTGTGGAAGCGCATTCGTGGTACCTCCACACCTGAGGCCAGGGAGGAGTTTTTCATCATGAAGGTCTCTGTTCTCGATGAGCAGCGGGTTGTCTCGGAGGGTGCTAAGAACAAGCGCTTCCCTTGGATGGACTTCTTCACCGTCCCTCGCGCTCGTCGTGCTCTCATCTACGCCAACATCATGATCCTCCTTGGTCAGCTGACCGGTGTCAACGCCATCATGTACTACATGTCCATTCTCATGCAGCAGATTGGCTTCAACGACGAGAAGGCTACTTACATGTCTCTTGTCGGTGGTGGTTCCCTCCTCATTGGTACCATTCCTGCCGTCATGTACATGGAGAAGTTTGGTCGTCGCTTCTGGGCCAACACCATGCTTCCTGGTTTCTTCGTTGGCCTTGTCATTATCGGTGCCAGCTACCAGATCCCGACTACGACGAACACTACAGGTGCTGTCGCTTGCTACTTGGTCGGTCTGGCCTTGTACATGATGTTCTTCGGTATGTCACCACTTTTGATGAAAACTCATTTTTTATCAACACCCTCACTTCTGGGAATGTATAACTGATCAAATAAACGCGTCAGGTTGCTATGCATGCTTAACATGGGTGATCCCCTCTGAGGTCTATCCAACTTATCTTCGATCATATGGTATGACCACATCTTCTGGTCTGCTGTTCTTGTCCTCCTTCGTCGTCACATACAACTTCACTGCCATGCAGGAGGCTATGACGCGCACGGGCCTTACACTAGGCTTCTACGGAGGCATTGCCATCATTGGATGGTTCTACCAGTATGTCAATTCCCAATTTTTCCCGTACCCATGTCACCACCTTTGACGAAAACCCTCACTTCTGGGAACATGTAACTGATCAAATGAACGCAAAAGGTGTATTTTCATGCCAGAGACGAAGAACCTGAGTCTTGAGGAGATTGATGTATTATTTGAAAAGCCTACGAGTGAAATCGTCGCTATGAATATGAAGGAGATCTCTCGCGGCCTGAGCAGGATCTGTGGAGGCGGTAAGAAGGATACTACATCTGCTGGCCGCGAGATGGAAGTAGACGAAAAGAACGAGAAGGAAGTCAGCGCTTAGATGGTACGATTAAGAGAGGTTGTTATGCTATCAATAAGTCAAATACAAGCACAATTGTTCGATGATGCATCCTTCCCAAGCTTAACGATGTAGCAACCCCTGTATTGCAGGAAATCAAGCGCGCTGCACTGCGGCTTCTATTTTCTTTTTCAAAAAAAAAAGGGCTGGAATAATCATTCTGAGATCCAAGCATGCTGATAACGTTTGACCAGACGCTGGACACTGAAGCCGTCAGCGAAACCCCCGGAGCGAAAGCCGAAGGCCGGGGCGGGGCGGGGCCGCACCTGCCCCACTACATCAACCAATCAGTGTAGTTGAAGTATATCCCTATAGTCCGTTGCACTGACAACGTCCGCCCCCCTTTTTTTTCCCACTTATGCAAAAACAAAAAAAAAGCTAATTTTACGCTATAACGCGCATTTTTCTACATTGTACGTAAAACGGGCTAAATCTATCGCTATGTTACGACCCGTTATGCATGGATAACAATTGACCGACCCACTTGGGCGTCGGGCGGCTAGAACAGGACATTTGTACCCTGCAGGATCATGGGAACAACAGGGACTCACTTGGAATAGAAGAACTATGGTATAAGTCACGTGATGATAAGAAGGACCGACAAGAGATAAGCGGTCCTGACTTAGGACCGACACGGAGAAAGCGGTCTACACCTGGGGACCGCTCGGAAAGATATCGGTCCTCAGAGTAAGGAAACTACCTTAGACTTATATATAGTATGACCTTGAGCCTGGCTTATGGTCAGACTTCTATAGCTCTTCAGCAATTAACTTAGTATTCATCCTCACAGATACTTTCAGCTTACCTTCACTGCGAATCACTTGTTAAGTCTAAGACTGATCACCTTAGCCTCTGAAGACCCAATCTACTACAGCCTACAAACTACAACCTACGACCACGACCTAGTGTACTGTTAAAACGTATCAATCCCCAGTTTCTGTTAGCAGACCCTACTGTCGGATAGCTGACCGTAACATCTAGCTGGCTGACTGATGAACCACGTTAATACTTAAATAAGTTATTATTTACTTACTAAAATATACAATAATATTTAAGAAGTATTATAATACTTTTAAATTATAAGATTTAATAAAAATAGATTAATTAAAGTTATTAAAATAAGCTAACTACTATACTATAAATATCTATATAGCGTTAAATAAATATATATATATATATATATATATATATAGGGATTATACATACGTAATTTCAGTAAAAAGGGGGGGCGGACGCTGTTAGTGTAACAGACTGTAGTGCCCACTTCAGAGAGCTAATGGCCGAAGGGGCACGGACGTACCCGGATCTGATTGTGACTTTCACCTCCGCTTCGGCGTAAGCGCAGGAGCCCGCTCCGGATCGGCACGCAGGCGATTTCGCGCACGGCCTTGACGTATCATACTAGCAAATCTTGCGTCTGGGGTTGACTTGGATGATTTCAAGGCCTCTTAGAGCTTTGGCGCTTTCCTGGTTGGGTCCTTGGGAGCTGAAGCTTCATGTTGTTGATGCCTCTGAAGAACGCCAAGCGGCTAGGTAATGATGCTGAGATTTCAGTATTACACTGTTGCTTTTCATGCACCGAACATTCTGGACACCTTTTTCTTGATCTATTCTAAAGCTACCTCACCCCATACAAATCTCCGGTCGACATTTGACGTTCTCTGCTCACATTGACACCAAACACCTTGTCATCTACTCCATGGCGACATCGAGTTCCTCACCCAGCTCCTCCTCTGGCTGCAGGTAATTATCCTCGTAATCGCCAATCTCGAAGTCTCCATCCCATGGCAAGTCCTTCCAATCTTCCAGGAAGTCCTCTCCAGACGGGATGACCCCTCTGTCATAGACATCCTTGGGAAACTTGACGTCTAACACCTGCTGCCTGAGCGACGGGTAGGTAGAGGTATGGTAATCCATCTTCAAGAAGTTTTCAGTTCGTGGCTCGATAAAGATGTTGTTGAGCTTGTTGTTTTGGAGTCTCTCATGAAGCTCAGTGGCATGAACAGGCCAGCCGGTGTACATACCCTCACCATGGACCTTGTGAGCAATAGCCATGGTGAGTGGGTCGTGGAAGGCAACACTCATTGGGAGCTCAAGGATGGAGGCATGTTCAGTCTTGAGGGCCTTCTTCTCCTCGTATTGAGGGTCATGAGAAAACAGACGGCACTTTGCGATGCAGACCTGGAACACACATTCCAAGAAGATGGTCACGGGTGTGTCCGATGTTGGCCAAAACTGGTTGCACCGCGTCCTCATCCGCTCCCAGTGCTCTGACATCAGGGCCATGGCAACCTGCCAGCTCCAATTAGACGGCTTCGTGCTGGGATGGAAGGGGTAAGGGCAGTTGTCCGCGCTTTTGTCAAGCTTAACTCCGAAGTGCTCTTGCATCTCGTCGACCAAGCATTGGACGCGGTTGAGTTCGTCATCCGGCCAGTTGAGGGGCTTATCGACAAATTCAGAGCTGATGAAAACGGGTTCCTCCCATGGTACCTTACCCGCGTGACGGCGTCGGCGTCCAGCGATGAGTGGTTCCAAGTCGTAGGCAAACTTTTCTGGACTGTCCACAGCGGCTTTGATGCGACCCTTGACAGTCCAAGCAAAGCCCAAGCGAATGTCACGCACCAGGGAACGGTAGTTGACCATCTGTGTTCTAGCCTCTTCGAAAGCACGCCGGGCGTCGACACCGTCGAGGTCTGACTCGTACTCCCCTTGATGGCATCGACCCGTTTCAAGTACCAACAAAGCACATGAAGAAACGCAGGGATGTGAATTTTCTTCACGTAGTTCAGAGCAGATGTGGCGATGCGAATATTCTCGGGGACGTGGATGCGGTAGCCGTTCTCTGTCAACCAAGCCGGGAATGCAGCATCCAGGCTGGGTCTCTCGGGGTCAGTGCGAGAACCATAGACGGAGTCAACCTGGATACTGTGAATCTTGCCGGTGTAATGATTCTTGAAGGCAGTCCCATGAGGTACACCAGCTGCCTCTGCCTCATCGGCTGTGGGTAGCGATGCGCTGATGGCGGCATAAAGTTGCTGCTTGGTCTGCTCGGCTTCATCATGCGAGATACCGCCTCCGGACTTTGACACGTCAATGTCAACAAGGACTTTGGCCATCCGGTTCAGAAGCTGGCTGGCATGGCTATCGGCCTTCCACCTGATGCGGCGACTGTCACAAGAGCTGCACACCATTTGCCCATCATACTTGCTCACAGACAACTGCGAACAAATTAGGCGACGTCCACAACCTGCGCAGTCATGAGACACCGTGATGGACATCTCTGGAGTGCAATCACAAAAGTTGGGAGGCTTATCGCCATCCTTGACGGCGCGGTTGACCTCGTCGGCTGCCTCCGCGCCACGGCTCCAGGCTTCTTTCAGGTCTCCCTCGAGAGTCCACACATCATGAATGACTTGCTCCACAGGCTTGCACCAGGCTCGATTGGTGGTCCGGATGACAAGGGGAGGGAATTCGTAGGAGGGATCTATCTCTTTCAACATCTCGGAAACCAGGTGTCCTGGAATGATCGCAGTCGTCGAATTGTGCCGATAGTGATAAATCTTGAACAACTGCTTGCCCTGGAAAACGAGAGCGGACTCGTCATCACCCTTCTGCAAGTGACCTCCGTGGCTCTCAATGATACCTCTCCAAAGGTCTTTGGCAGCTTGCTTGTTGAGGATTCGCCCGTGCAAAGCCAGTGAAGTGGAATACATGCGACACACACGCTCTGCCTTCAACAGACCTTGCTTCTCAGCATCATCGATATCCATCTCGTCGAGCTCGTCCTGCGAAGGGAGCAAGGTGGCGAACGTGGGCTCCGCACCATCGCTTGGCGGCTCTTTTTTGATCCGACGTAAGACCGTATCCTTTGCGTTTACCTCGACGAATTGGTACCGGTCTGTAACCTCAGGAACGTGCCCCATTGCGCGAACGTTCGTAGCAGTAAGCTCCTTCGAGTCGACGCTGAATGAGTACGTGGTTGGGTCGAGAATGCGAGAGCTGCAGATGAAACGTGCAGGGCGCTTTTTGTTGGCGGCGTAGAATTTGGGGAGGTGACAGATAATAGCCTTCGCAGGAAATCGCTTGATGAGACAAGCCTGAAGGATCATCTTGCTAGAAGGAGGTGTGGCCATGAACCCGGCGATAGTATGCGAGATAAGCGACAAATCTCCTGGCCATCTGTTGTAAATCTTGACGAGCTCCTCACACAGAATGCGTGCCTCTGACTGCGTGTACTCATCGGCCCACAAGCGCCCGATGACAAAGACCTGAGTTGAATTCGGAATAAAGACCTCGAGTTGCCACTGATCCTTCTGCGGTTTGTGTCTGATGACTGTTCCACCTGGGGCAATACCCGTTGTCCATGATGTGACACGGTTACTGAAGTTGCGGACAGCGGGCAGACTCAACAACAAGTCCAGAGAATGCTGGACTCCTGTCTTGGCGGAGGTGACGAGAAACTTGGTGGACTCCAAGTTGATACCCTTCAAGGCCTGCTGGACCTTAGCCTTGTTGTGGTTCTCGAAATCATTCCAAATGTTGGCAACTGGCAGAGGCCTGTGAGGGGGTAGTGTGTGTCCGTGAAGCGCGCTCGCCACCTCGTCCTTGGTGACAATGCCTTCGCTACGGTTACGCCACATCGGAGACTCTATGAGCTTCGTGCGCTTCGCAGGAGGTGAAGCCGAAGATCGGTTCCCGTTCGAGTCCGAAGAGATGTCCTCGGCGGGGCTAGATGGAGAGTCCGGCGAGTCTGAAGGCTGTTGCTGGTCCGGGTTGAAATCGGTATCATTATGGTCCGATGTGGGCTCAGGGACAGGGGCGGGCTCATCAGAGTCAAGGGAGCTTGAATACGAAGCCGCAACTTTCTGTTGAGACAGGTCGGAATCAACACCCTCGATGCCAGAGGCGAATGCGACGGGGTCTTCAGCATCAGGGGGTCCGTGAGTGTCGGTGGGAGTGCTGTACGGCTCCGGGTCCGAGCCTTCGTCGGTGGTGTTGGCAATTTCGGCGGAAGGGTAAAATTGAGTGCCCACACGAGCAGGAATCGCAGTGCTGTGAGGCTCGTAGTCGGAACCTTCGTCGGTGGTGTTGGCAATCTCTGCCGAGGGATGGTATTGAGATCGAGGCTCAACTGGAGCGGTGGGAACGCCGGCCGAGGAGTCGTGTGCGGCAGAGTGGGAAGTGGGAGTGGCAACAGGAGTGGATCCAGCAGCAGCACTACTGCTGGACTCGCCCGAAGGCGAGTCTTGGGGATCACTGGAATCGCCGGCCACAGAGGCAGTGCGAGTGGCGCCAGCGGGAGCGGCGGCACGCGTCATGGAACGGGTTACAACCCTCCGGCCACCTCGTCTTGTGACCGCAACAGCGGAACGATTGCCCGGCAAGGCCTGTGTCATGTTAGCAAATCCATTTGCTTGTGAGTTGGAAGCCGAAGTTACCAGTCGGCCAGGAGGCGCGGAAGAGGCTGTCGAGGGAGGTGGAGCAGGAGCAGGTGGAGGAGAAGAAGAATCGTCATCACTGGAAGAGCTTTCGACCTTCTTCTTCTTCTTCGCGGCCGCCTTTCTCTTGGGGGGCATTCCTCCCCGAAGCTCCATAACGTCATCCGTGTTGACATGTGGAGTGGCAGTTGTGTTGGTTGAAACTGATGGTGATAGTTGTGGTCGCCACCTCCGGATCCATCATGATGTCCGTTGTCGCGGTTGTTGACGGGACCTCCGGAGTGGCCACACTCATCGTTGTGGTCGATATGACCATTACCAGTGTCGTTACCGTAGTCGGCCATGGTGTACGAGGGATCCGTGATTGGGTTATCTATCGGAGGAGATGGGGAGCGAGTTGGTCTCAAAGCTAGCTGGTCGAAGAGCTTGTCGAAGGAGCTGGTCGAAGGGCAAGGCGCACGAAGGGCTGTGCGGTTGAGGGTGAGCAGTTGAAAAGCTTGCAAGTGAGGAGTGGAAAGTTGAGTACTTGGTAGCTGTTCCGTCGTATGGGAGTTCGTTGCGCCGTCGGCAATATTTAATGGAGAGAATGCAGCAAAATCCAACGATTCAACGAATGTCAAGGAAAATTCCAGCTTGCAAGGAGAAAGTTCAGGACTTTCAGCCTGAAGGCATAGCTTTGCAATGGACAGACATAAACGGACTGAAAGAGGGTGGAGAACAGGAACAGGAAAAGGACAAGCGCACGAGAGGGACGGAAAGAGACATGGAGCAGAGGCACCTCCAGAAGCTGAGACAACAGAGGCAGAGACAAAAGGCGGAGACAACAGGCAGAGACGACAGGCAGACGACGGGCAAAGACGACGGGCAGAGACGACGGGCAGAGACGACGGGCAAAGACGACGGGCAGAGACGACGGGCAGAGACGACAGAGGCAAAGACGACAGAGGCATAGGCAGCGACGCCAACGGAAAGAGACATCAGCGGGTGGATACACCATCCGAGACAACAAAAGACGTAGTTCCCAGTCGTGTGAAGAGGAACGGCCAGACCGAAGAGATAGCATCACAAGCAAGGCACAAGTCTGTAAGGCTTCATTCAAATGGTCAGGATGTAGATAGGCTTCAAAGGCTGTGTTCAAAGGCAGCTTTTTCAATTGCACCAATTTTGCTTGTGTGTTCTTCCCTCTGCGGGAACATCATAGCCTTTTCCAGGTTTGATCAGCAAGCTGTATTTGCTCTGACGTCAGAAAAAAGCCTTGATAGCAGGCACGCAACAGCAGAGGCTCATGGGCAGTGAATAATGCTGACCAGTGGAAGGCAGATTGCCTTAGATTTTGGCCTTTCATGGCTTCCGCATCTTTTGGGCAACCTGTGTCTGTTTGAAGGTAACTGTGCTGGAGCAGCCGAAGCAGGCTGGGAGCCGAAATGAAGGGAGCAGGTTGGAAATGGACACAGTGATTGGCTGGACATGAGAAGACTTCTAGATAGCGTTGGCGCCTCCCAGAGCTCTGGCTTGGCCCGTTTCCCTTCCCAGATGAAGCACCCTGAGGTCTGAATCTACTGCTAGTACCTTTGAAGAATGCGTCATGGTGCAAGTGGTGACGTGAAAAGAATAGAAAGCTGCTTCGGCCCGGTGTGATATCAATACCAGAACAGGCCTTCATTGATGCGCGAAACTGAGCGAAATTTCGGAAGCGCACTAATTTGCGAAGACTCAAAATCTGGACACCGTTTTCTTGATCTCTCCTCCAAGGGACATGTCAAGATTTTGGCTCTGCCACTGTCGTCGACATGGATGCACAAGCCGGCGAGCGGGTCCCGGAGACGGGCTCGACCCACAATTGCGGCTAGCAGCCGGGCATGCATACGCATCCTGGTCAACCGCTGCAAAAGAGACAGCCCAGTTCAATTACCAAGACCGCCCATTTTCCCATGCTAGAGCGACTGGTTGTCTACTCAGTGTCTTTTGCTCTCTATGCAACCAGTACTATCGTCGTCCTCGTCGTTGTCGCTGGTGTCGCTGTTGTCGTCCGTCGTCGTCCGTGACCTCAATCTTTTCTTTCCTACCTATTCACAGGTTGATTGTCGTACCTTTGTGGGGCCAATGTACAACCAAGTACAAACAGCTTAACCCGACCAACGGAAAAGGGTAGGCCACTAGACGTCCAAATACCAAACAGCCAGCAAACTACGCGGTACACCCAGCCCCCTGCCTGCACCCTTGCTGCCCAGAGGTCACATCCCATGAGCGACCTCAAACGCCTTCTCAGAGTGCAGGCAGCAAATCCTCATCCATCTCAGGCAGCTTCATGTCATTTCGGCCGGGGCAGTGGACTGGGAGGCGCCAACGTCTGTAGGTACATTCTGACTGGAAGGTAGGGTCTGGGCTCTTCGGCGGATTCGTTCGTGCTGTCCTCCTTGGCGTCCATCCCACTTGCCCTCCTCAACACTGGCACCCTTCATCTCGCTAGCGAGCTGTAATGCGGTCATGCAGCTCCTTCATTTGAGCGTTGCGGAGGTCAGCGTATGTCTCAGTAGGTAGGTACAAGTGACAACAAAGACGACAACAGAGGCAACAGCAGAGGCAACAGCAGAGGCAACAGCAGGGACAACAGCAGGGACAAGCAGGGACCAGATTATGCAGACCCAATGAGATCTATCGATGTACGTCCATGCATGCCCGTATCCTTTGGGGCCTGGCTGGCAGGTTGTGGCTCGTTCTCCTGCACTAATGCCTGCACGTGGAACATGCCGGGCGCCTCCCTCCAGGTTGCCAGCAACAGTAGGTACATTATGAGGGCAGCATTTGTCGCTTCTCCTTCTACGTCTCCTCACCACGAAGGAAGGCCACTTTTGATTCTTCTCCTATCGCAGGTTCAGCGACACCATGGCGAACGCTTCAGATGCACCGGCAACAGCTTCGGCTCCCCAGGAGCACCCTCTGGGCAACCTTGGAGGTGATTAACTGGCCCCCTGCACCCGGTCTTGCGCTGACATCCCACAGCTATGCTCGAGTGGAGATACGACCACGTCTGGACGCTCTACGAACGGAAAGACTACGAGGAGGCCGAGGCTGATGCCATGAAGCTTTTGATGGAGCCCCGCCTCGGAGATTTCCACCGGGCGGGAATGCACTTGCTTCTCGCGGGTTCTCCTCACGAGTATGTGGACCATGCGAAGCAAGCGGTTCGCCTCTACAGCCAAATCCTTGAGAAGAATCACTTCAACATGTCTCCTAAGCAGCAAATGGCCATTCAGAACCTCGTCAACAAGTCCCAAGCCGCCTTGGAGAAAGCGCGCGCTGACCAGAGCGCTATTACTCGCGAAGTCCGCAAAGCTCTGTAACCTACCTACCTTAGCCACCTGCATAAATGTCTATTAGGCTGAGGTGTTTGATTTGAGCTGACCCGTGTGCCCCTGGTCTGTGAAGTGCGAGTGGCAAGACGTACGATGACTTACGCAACGCGCAAATGAAGGAGCTGCAGGATCGGGAGCTGGAGCTTGCTGGTGCCTTCGGTCCTGAAGACGGCAAGGACGACAACAAGGACGACGGCGAGAACACAGTCACCCAAGGAACCCAGATCCCACCTGCCAGCCAGATAAGTGTGTCTGACGTCAGCGCTTCCCAGTCCACTAGTGTGGCCCGCTCTCAGTCCACTGCCCCTACCGAAGTGGACATGGAATTGCCTGAGATGATGGATGAGGACTCGCCACCTGCTCTCTGGGCCTCTCAGCACGGCGTTGGAGATCGCTTCCGATCTTCGGGTTGTGTCGCCGTCTGGACAGCAAGGTTGCAGGCAGGAGGGCAGAGCGCAGAGCGAAAGGTCATGTACTTGTTTTGTTTGTACGGTGTAGGGAATAGAAGCAACGTTCTCACTCCATGTTTGCTACCTCAGCGGACGTTCGGTGGCTGGGTGCCCATGCGCGATCGGCTGTCTGCCGCAATTGCGGGTCGAGCCTACTCCAGAGACCAACCGCCGGCTTGTGCATCCGTTGAAAATAGCATGGTTCGTCTCCGTGAAAACCCTCTTTTGAAGCTGTGGATTAGGGGGAAAGGATGATGAATTCCAATCATTTGCCCTTACTCAACCCCCCCCCCCCCCCCCCCCCCCCCCGAGTAGTACTGCTTGTATTGGTTGAACAAACGCAGCAAGTACAGCGTGCGCGCAGATGTAACTTTCTCAATGCATTTCTCAACCAGCCCAAAACGTTCACTTTGGAAGGTAAGCCATATCTTGCTTGCCTGCATCGGTCAGTTTCTTAGCGGAAGAAGCAAAAGGAATTCTTTGAACAAAAGCAAAAGAACATGCGGCCAGTGTGGATTGAACACACGACCTTCAGATTGATTGAATGAAGTTTCCCGGACGTAAACCCGCTTCAGTCTGACGCTCTCCCAACTGAGCTATGTCCGCCGCACTTTTTAATGAGAAGTCACAGCCCTACGTGGAGCCAAGACGGCGACAGCGGAAGTTCGCCGGTCGTCACCAACCCGACTACCACTTTAGTCCTAAATAACTATCAACATTTATGGATCTGCTCTTCAAAGATGTGGGGTTTTCAATGGGCGAGGTCATTGCAACATGAGATTTTAACAGGGATAGAGCTAAGGTGCAGGCTAAAATTCTCGAACCATGGGATCGGTATTTCGCAACGAACATGATGAAGAGTTTATCTGCTTCTAACAAAGATACATGATCGTGGTCAACCACTCCAGTATTTCTCAATAACACATGCATGGTGATCCAATGGTATTTCCACTTCAGCACACAATCTTCTTATCTGCGGTCGTTGCAGTTTAGAAATCGCAAGTGAAAACCGTCTGTTGGCGGCAGCATTGGCTAAAACCAAAGTGTCCTACTTCCAGGATACACTCGAACTAACAGTCACACAAGGTTAGCCCCAGGCCAGAGTTTCCGGTGTATTCTCAACCAACTTACACCTTGGAGTTGGCCTCCAGAGCTCTGGCAGCAAACAGCGGTCTCATCTGTCTCAGGCACAACTTGGTCATTCTCGTTGGAGGTGCAGCAGTAGATCGACTGAGCTGCAGCGCTGTAAGACGGTGCATGTGGTTAGCTATATGCGAAATAGATATAATTAGGTTGACCATAAGCGAACCTCGCAGCAAAGAACCAAGTGGCGATGAAGGCAGCGGTACGCATTTTGATTGTTGGTTGAGTAAAACGAGTGTTTGGTGTAAGTTTCTAAGTGAATGTGATCTTGAAGAGACAAAGCTTGACGGTGTATGAGTGTTGTGATGTGCTCAATGGAGTGCGTCCAGACAGCCTATTAGTACTGCAAAACACGACCACTTTCGAGCCAGATATGACTTCCTAGGCGAGACAGTTCGTTTTCGGATTCGAATTGCCCATCTACGCAAGACAGGCATCGCCGGACAGACCGAAACAGACTCAAATGGTAGATTCACTCTAACATACATGCGGCCGTATTTCCAAAAGGCATTGATGCAAGACTGAGTTGTCTAATTACAAATTTACTTGAATCGTACACTGTTCGTTCGATAACCGGACTTGGTAACAACGGGGCTCAAACTCAGGATAATTGAACTTACTGCCCAAATCAATCGCGACTCATAGAATGGCCTGACACTGCTGGAGAACTGACGCATTGCGCCTTCGCCAAGAAAAAATATTGCGTCCGTCTTTTTCATCCCTTCATTCGGCCCCTTCGGATGCGGGTGTGGGGACGAACCGCACTGGTAGTCTGGACTGCCGGCTGGGCAACAAGCCGCGGACCGGGACGGAGATATCTGCACGTCCAAATCCACATGACGCATCTTGGCGCTGCAGCCCTGCTAAGGATAACTCCGTCTTTAAATTGTGATGGACGATATCTTGAGCAAGCGTTCTGAACATAGTTGATAAGACCCGAGCGACGTCAGACCAGTCAAACCTAGTTGAAAGGCCAAGATCGACTAGCATGCGTCTGCACAAGCTAGAAAAGGCTATTCCATTGACTGCTGGTGGACTACACAACACGGGTTTAGAAGGCGGCAGGTTCATCTAATCGGGAAATTTGTCACTTTCCTTTCGGGGAACTGCGACTCTTAGGGTTGGGCAGAGTTGAGAAGCACTTTCACCGGTCATCATCTCAAGTACTGCAGTCCAGCAGCACGCACGGAGTGGGATAACATGAACGATAGTTGCGACACTCTCAATAGCTCTGAAGACACGGTGACGTAGGCATCCTATTTCATTGGCTGGAACAACAAGTGACCTCGGTCTCGGTATTCTTGACTATGAATGGCCTCTACATCTGATCTGGCAGCGAACACACTTCCTCGTCTAGCATAGCTTACAAGCCACACCCCAGCACGTTCCGTAACAGGTCAGTGGCTAGATCCTTAGCCTCCGCCTCGGTAGAAAGAAAACCGCCATCCCCCTTGTCCCACGTAATGTCGGTTATTGAAGCGTGAGGTTCGTCTGTGTTTGTTGGTGGGGCACCTCCACCCGGAGCCGCCAAGACAATGTTTACGCGCAGAAGCTCGTCCCCAGTCCAGCTTCTGTGCACATGCACCACGAAGTCTCCGCGGACGTCTGGCTCGTCCGCGCGGAACATCCAGCGGTCCTCCATCGCCGCCGGCCGGAAGCCCCGGAGGAGCTTTTCGACGTCATCGCGAGAGACGTTGAGGTTCCAGGGCGCAGTGGTTGGGTGCTTCATGGCAATGATGTTCTGATGGGATGGAATTTGGTAGCGGGCGATGTTTAATAGCGGGCGATGCAGCAGGTCTGCGGAGAGCGGTTGGGTATTCGAGCAATGGTCGCGCAAACGATGCAGCAGTCGGTAGAGTCTGAACGATTGGGTGTGCGAAATGACGAGATAGGTGTAGTGTTCGACTGTGTGACTTGGGACTGTGAAAGAAAGTGGATATATGCTCCCGGAGATGTCGGGGAAATCGGTCTCGATGATCTTTTTAACACAGCCTTACGAGAAAAGCATCTCCGCTTTTGCCCATCATGTGACAGGTTAGCAGCCAATTCAATGTTGAGGATTGTTCCGTCTGCCCAGCAGGAGAGAAAGGTTGTGCAATGACACATGGAGTGGGGTTCAGCGTTTGAACTATTCCACACTAGGTCAAATTTCAATGCCAAGCGTTCGAGAGCGCATATTATCGGAGAAAGGCTACCACGGCAGTTCATACCTGATAATTCCAACTGTACTCGTACGAGTCAACCTCGGGCTTGAACTTGGCCGTGGTGTCTACATTCTACGTCGGAACCACAACAAGGTTGTCTCTCGAGCTGTCATCATCCAACCACCAGGACGTGGAGACTCAAGACCAAGCTCCTGGACAGTGTCAAGTTGAGATAAGATCACTAATACTGAAGACAAAGAGCAGGGCCGAGCTTGGGCTTGAACCTAGTCATAGTGCCGGCGTTCAACTTCGAAATCCCATGAACGTTGTATCTTGAGTCAAAGCCATTAAGCCACTATGAAGCTCACTGCCAAGATCAAAGACATGACCTCGTGTTGAGAGAGAGAAGTACTGCCCACGTTGAAGCCTTCGGAATTGAGTCGTGGAAAGATACTGAGCATCAGGACCTCCAGGTGAGGTATAAAGCAGCATGCCTTCTGGCCTGCCGACTTTTTTTTGCCATCATCATCATCACTTCATTCGCTACTCAACTTTGTCACTCTTTAGGCCCTGTGTCACACTGTCTCTCACTTATTTGTCCACTTGCATCGTCACTTGTACGATAAATCGCCAACACGATGTTCCAAAAGAACGTTCTCATTCTCCTTGTCCTTAACCTATGGACTGCTCTGTGCAATGCTCAGTTCAGAGTGTGGCGCGCTGATACCAGGACCCCGACTGAGATGCGTGCCGCTGGCAATTTTGCTCCCAGAGGAGCCAGCCGGTTCCTTGAAGTCACTCCGAATGTCAGTATGTACAACCATGCTGTCGGCGCCGATAATGGAGCCAGCCGGGATAACGACGGCTATGTTTCCACCACCGCTAGCGAAGATACCGCTGTCAGATTCCTCACGCAGATGTTCAACGGCAACGGCTATGTCTACGAGATCGCGGCGGTGGGCAACTTCATCCAGGTCTCCGGCACCCTCGGCCAGTTTAGCCCCTACCCGAACGAGCAAGAGTACGCGGCGCTTGGCGGCTTCAGCTGGGACCAGGTCATCCGCTGGAGACACTACACCAACGGTGTCGCCGACGCTGCCGGCATGCAGGACAACAACGAGTATGAGGGCAGAATCTACAACAGCTTGAGACCTAACAACGGTCAACCCAGCCTTGCGGGTTTCCCCTCTGGCCACCGAGCCTGGACTCTCTCCCCTTGGAATGCGTTTGCCCAGGGCGGCGAGGGCTGCGGTGGTAACGGCGAGCTCTCTGTCGGCGCTCGCCGCCTCAAGACTCGCCAGTGTGCTCCTGTTGATGACGCCGTCACTGCTGCTAAGAGGTTCATCGACGAGGCTTGCTACCGAAAGGCCCTGTGCGGCTAATCGCCAAGAATAGGCCCATGCCGCCTGGGTTCTCGGCCTGAGCAGGGGCGCTTTGCACCCGATCAAGCCTTGCTGAACAGCAATAGCAGGTCAAGAACGCTACGGACAGAATGCATGTTTGCACGACGTTGTTGATGCGTTAAACTGGGGATACAAAATGACGGATTGAGAGATGGCTGAGGGTGGGCCACACTGTCTTTACCGTTGCCGATCTTGTTTGTGTATTATTGGTTTCCTCTTAGATCGAGCTTGCTTAGAATCACACAGTCTTTACCGTTGCTGAACTTGTTCGTGCGTCATTTGGTTTCATCTAACGTTGAGTAGGTTTGTCAGAACGAAAAATAAGATAGTGTGATTTTGAATCTCACTATGAGGTCTGCGAAATCAGGCGACAGATCAATTTCGGTGGCATGTGGACATGAAACGGTTGGTAGAAGCATTGTTTAAATTCTGTAGAATCTTGTTGAGCATTGAAATCAACAGGGGCTCTAGGACCCATGGATGCTGCGTAGAACAGGCCAAAGACTGATAGTGCGGCTGCGCACCCGGAATGGCAAGAATAGAGAGTAAAATACGTCCAACTGTCCACCTGACTCCAGAACCATAGTGTCGATAACCCCACATCTTTATGGTGGGCCTGTGCCGAACTCCGATAATCACCAGGGTTCGGTATGACAGTGCGTGTGAGATAATCGAATGGCCTTGCCAAACCAACATGCAGTTCCGGTCGCCAACAGCATCCGACTCAAGTGCGTATGTCTACAAGCATAATGACTGCCTTTTGACCTGGACTGTTGCCATTTTGCATAGTACCACAGCTCATGTTCGTCTTTTCATAGCACCCGTGTCGGATGAACCCCACGATACCATCTGCTATCTCGAGCCTTTGCTTTCCTACTGAAGCCACAACATGCAGAAATTCTACCGCCTCTAGACGCCGCATGGGACCCTACCTTGCAGACCGACGACGGAGAAGCTATTGCTGGACGCCGTTGCAGCTTGCCGCCAGAGGCGGAGAACTGGAAAACATCCGGGAAATCCTTGCCGACGACCCGGGGGCCGCTAACGATCCCCCGCGCGGGTACTACGGACAGACGGCCATCCAGGCTGCATGCATGCACGGCCACGAACAGGCGGTGCAGATTCTGGTCGACGCCGGGGCCGATATCCACTTCTGCGGAGGCAACAACTTCCAAAGAAATGCCTTGCAGATCGCCTGCGGACATGGAAACGAGAAGGTCGTCGACATTCTGCTCAGTGCGGGGGCCAAGGTAAACGAGGTGTTGTCGAAGCCTGCGCATTCGACGCGCGGGTCACCAGCGTCGTCAGTTGTCGTGACCCGGTACAACGGAAGATCGGCATTTCAGGCAGCAGCGGAGCGAGGACATGATCATCTTGTCAGCCGACTACTGAGATTGGGAGCCGACGTGAATGCTCCGCCATCACCAACGGCAGGTTACACGGCATTACAAGCTGCTGCGGGCGGCGGCTACATGACGATATTGAAGCTTCTTCTCCAACACGGGGCTGACATCAATGGTGCCTCAGCAAAGTACAAGGGCTACACGGCTCAAGGGGCATGTCTAGGAGGTCATCTCGAGATAGTCGACCTTCTTATCAAGGAAGGCGCCAATGTCCACGCCCTGGGAGGTATTTACGGAGATGGGATGGCTTTACATGCTGCAGCCGAGAAAGGCCATGTGGACATAATCAAGCGCTTATTGGCAGCCGGTGCTGATGTGAATGCTTGTTGCTTCAAGGGACGAAAGGCCAGACTGCACTGCAAAGCGCCGCGGTTGGAGGCCACGATGAAACGATGCAGGTTCTTAGAGAAAACGGTGCTGTAGGCAGGACTGGGGGAGGCAGATTCTGATTTCCTTAAGCGTCATGGATCGAGCAGTGGCTATTTTTGTTTGCATAAAGCTTTTGATCAGTTTGAAGCTGAACAGGAAGCCATCGGCATCATTATTTCTTGGCATACCCTCACATACACTGTTGAGTGCAACTGTCTAATCTTCGAGCGAGACAATGTCCTTCTCTCTGTGCAAAACGATGTCAGCTTCGATGGCGCCGGCTCTGGGAGCAGAAAAAGCGATATGTTCCTCCGTGACTGGCACGACTCCAGCCTTAACCCCATAGTCTCCCAGTTGATAGCACCGGATAGTAGCAAAAGAGTGCTACATTTTCATAAAACCTTCGACAACAGATCGATGCAAGTGTTCCACGAATCTAGTTTTGGGAGACGAAAAGACAGCATGTCCAAAGATCAAGACATGCAATTAAAGAATTACTAACAGTTGGCCACCAGGCCTTCCCCTTTTCTTTCCTCGCTCCAGAGTGTACACGACCGAGCCAATCCTTGCACCACCTTGAGCTAGCCAGCGAAGGCTCATATGATCTCGTCCTGCTTTCGCTCTTCAATGTCTCTCACGAACCTCTCCACTTCAGGGTCAAGTAACAGATTCTCCCTGAATTTGTTTCTGCTTCCTTTCACGCAGAGACCCTGGAGCAAACGAGCCCTGCTGAGCGCAACAAATATCAATCTCGCATCCCAGGCACTTTCGAGGTCGACGGTTACGCGATCAAGTGAAAGACTTTGGCTCTTATGGATGGTCATAGCCCAACCTGGGACGAGTGGTATTTGAGTTCTTACCGAGAATGACTCCAAAGCCAACCGAACTTCACCATCTATCTCTTTTCAACAAGTAACAACATTGTAAAAGCTGCAATCAGGGCCAATAACGCGGCGTTCGCCGTTGGAAAACCGAACTTCGGGGTCTGGAAAGCATGTAAGCATCCATGGATATATCGCATTCGGCCACACCAGGATACTTACATAGTTTCGTGTCCAGATTCGCTTTGAAGACTCCGATTTGCTTGCAACGTGCTTTCGCTATATCGTAGCCAACCTGATCGCCCTTGTAATGTTTGGGATTTGGATCCTTGAGGTCGTCCTTCAGACGCGGTACGAAACCAATGACCGTGCCTTGGCTGCCGTTACAAAGACCTTTCTCCACATCGATCTGCAAGAATCGTCAATTCTAGAGTCCATGGGCGTCAAAGTAACTAGGATGATCTCACATTAGAAAGTAAGATGACAGGCATATTGACTTTCATCTCCAAGCATTTGTGATATCGATGTTTGTCGTCATCATCGCCGAGCGATTGACATCGAGATTTGTCCTCATCGTCGCGCTTGTTCTTTTTGTCGCCGATGGGTTGTGTATGATCGAGGCACTGATATTGCACTTCTTTGCCATCGAGAGATTTGAGCCTCGCGTCATTGTGATTCTTGACATCAATTTTGTGGCTGAAAAAAAATGTCCCATTACCATCAACCCTGCGCTTCTCCAAAAGAAGGTCAAGTTCATCATCATCAACGTGGCCTCTACGAATGTTCTGAAGCATTCGTACGAAGCCCTCGTCTTTTTGCCGATGTATCGTGGTCAAGTGTATGTTTCTGTAAGGGGCTGGCCCCTAGGCTTGTTCAACGTAGAGGTGCCGTCGATTGACTATTCTAAGCTGAAGAAGGAAGAAGGGACTTTACAAGAGTAGGCACCTAACAGCGGTGAAGCAGGCTGGGTTAGGCGGCGTACTGCGGCAGAATAGTGGGTCCAACGGAGCTGGATCTCAGTAACTGCTCCGGCAAAGCCGGAGATCTCGGCCGGGCTCTAGCCCGTGACATCACCCCCCCGCTCCCCTCCGCCGGCGCGCCCACGGCGCTAAGGCTGGGTCCCCATCATGCTCCATCGCAGAGCCGTAACGGCGTTCGTAAGCCTCTATTGCTTCTGTCCCCTGGAGCGTCTCAATAGGCTCTTAGGTCCTCTCTGTATATCCTTCCCACTTAACCAGAACCTTGCGGCGTCGCCTGCGCCCTTAATGCTTCTAGGTAGCAGCGTTAATACTCTCTATATTCCAGGTCTCTTCGCCTTTATCGTTTATAATTAGTGGCGGCTGCTCATCATCTAACGTTTGACTGGGTAAGGGGTTGTTACCTGCGCGCTTCAGGATATCCATATGGAAGCGTGGGTATATAGCTGCTGGTATATCAAGCTCTACTACGTATAGTGAGATGACTTTTATAACTATATACTTATGGTGTAGCTAATCCAGTTTCTTGCAAGGCCTAGGGGATCTGTAATAACCTATGTGAAGCCAGACTTTGTTGCCTACTTCTAGTCTCTCTATAGGCTGGCGCTTCATATTAGCCAGTTCCTCATAGCGTTACTGCGTTAACGCAAAGGTTAATTAGGCTATATCTATCATATCTTAAAGCCTTGTTACCAACTTGCGTGCTTAGCCCTCACAGGTTCCCTCAGGGCTTGCTGGGTTTGCTTCCTTGACCTTAATAGGCTCTGGGTTATATCTATGCTCTAGGAAGAAGCTACTCATCCTAATAGCACTATTATCGCAGCTACAAAGTGCTAGCTGAGCTGCTGGAAGGTTATATGCCTAGTCCTTCTGTGAGTAGGTGGCGTAGTTGCATAGGTAGGCCTGGATCTCCTGGTTCATCCTCTCTAGGCCTCTATCAGTCTGCAGGTGGTAGGTGGTACTAAGCTGCTGCTCTATTCCCAAAAGCTTGCAGAACTGCCGCCAGAAGCAGCTTATCTAGTTGCTCCCTCTGTCGCTTATAATTAACGTAGGGATGCTGTGAAACCTAAAGTGGCAGTTTAGGAATTATTTAGCGCAGGCTTCAGCTTCTATGCTTTCTATCGCCTCGAGGGTTACGCCTTTACCTAGCTGGTTGATAATTACATAAAGATATCTCTCACCCTTATCTATAAGGGGAAGGTAAGTAATAAAATCTATAGCGAGGTTGCTTTATATATGCTGTGGTATTAGTAGTAGTTTCAGAAGTCCCTTATAACGTTCCCTCCAGATATAACTACGCCTATAACTATTGCAGTTACAGCAGAAACGCTATACTAAGTGCGACTGACTAAGCTAGTAAAACTGTCTACTAACCAGCATAAAGGTGTTATCTCTTCTTAGATAGCCACTAAGCACTAAGTTGTAGGTGCTTTGAATGATATAGGTGTGTAGCCTGTTTGCATTATTATCTAGATCTTTATTACCTAATACCTAAATCCAATCTCTAAACAGTAGTTAGTTGCTATTATCAATCTTACACTTAGCGATCTGAACTTTTAGCTTAAGGCTTAGGGGGAAGCTTCTTTCTCGTTATTTCACAGCAGCATAGGCCTGCTGGTAGACTTCATCTTATCCTTAGGTCTGATCCCAGAGTTGCTATAGTTCTTCGTCGTTAGTAAATATAAGTATTAATAGTGCTGTCTCTATATGTTATATATATGCTGAGGGTAGGGTTGCTTCTAGGAGGAGCTATAGGATTCAACCTTATTTACGCTTATCCTCTAGAGATATAGGTATATCTTATTCACATCTAGAGAGTGCGTCTGGCACTACTGCTTTGCTTCCTAGCTGGTACTATATCTCGAAGTTATACTGAGATAGTTCCTCTGCCTATCAGCTTTGCCGTTCTGTAAGCTTCTGCTTCGTCATAAAGTACTTTAGGTTCTTATGGTCTAATAGGATCCTAAAGTGGCTGACACTCTATAGCTCTGCTCTCTATTCTTATAGACAGCTTATAATAGCTAGCATCTCCTTATTATATATCAGATAGTTAAACTGGGCAGCGTTAAGCTGCTGTGAGTGGTAGGCTACTGCGTGACGTCTGCTATGCTTATCTTCCTATGAGAGTACGCCTCTAAGGGCAAAGCTGGAGCAATCAGCCTCAACATAGGTTGTACGCTCAGGGTCCAGTTGATATAGAACAGGCTTAGCAGCAAAGATCCTCTTAAGCTCCTAGAATGCTGCTTCTTATTCCTTACCCCAGCAGAAGGGGACACCCTTCTTTATAAGAGCTATCAGGGGTCCAGCAATCTCTAAATATGCTGGGATGAAGATCCAGTAGTAGTTTATAAATCTAAGGAAGCTTCAGACTCCTTTAACTATCTTTAGAGCTGCCTATTCCTTAATCGCCTTCAGTTTCTCAGGGTCGCAAGAGATACTAACTCCAGCTGTAATAATAAACCCTAGGTATTTAACTGTCTTCACAGAGAACGTGCACTTATGAGGGTCTAAATATAGCCCTGCCGCAGCAAGCTTATGCAGTACTAGCTTAACCTTTGCTTTATAGTCTTATTATAAGCTGTTTAAGTAGATCAGGATGTTATCTATATATGCTGTTGCAAAGTTGTCTAGATACTCTTAAAGTATGCTGTTAATATATCGTTAGAATATGGCGGGGGCTTCTATAAGCCTAAAGGGGATAACTAGCTATTTAAATAGCCTATATCTCATCTGGAAAGCTGTCTTATACTCCTCTCCCTGAGCGATCTAAATCTTATGGAATGCTGCTATTACGTCTAGCTTAGTGAACCACTTAGCAGCGCTAACAGTCTATAGCGTCTCTCGAATCAAGGGAAGAGGGTATCAGTCGCACTTAGTAAGCTTGTTAAGAGTGTAGTAGTCAATATAGAAATATATTCCTCTGTTCGGTTTATATATGAATAGTACTAGGGCTGATGCTTCTGAGCTGCTAGCGCAGATAAAGCCCTTATTAAGTAGGTCTTATAGGGTCTTATAGAGGATGAGGAGTTCTTCTTATGATATACTATAGAGCGGACCCTATAGTAGTATGACTTTATTACTACTACCATCCTGTTTGATAGGGATCCTGTGGTCAACCCTAGGGCGATGCAGTGGAAGGTTGGCGGCTTCGTCAGGTTGGAATAGCTTGCGGAACTCAGCTAGTATAGCTGGCGGAAGGAGGGCCTTTAGGTCTGCCTTCTCAGTCTTCTTCATAAGAGCCTTCTGTATATCTGCTAGGCTGATCGCTCAAACTTTATATCTGGTAGTACCTTTAGTGCGTTAATATGCCCTCTTATAGAGCGTTGCAAAAGGGGCTCCTGGGAGCAAGCAGGCAGTCCTAATCTGGCGTACTCATTCTGGCTCTTCCTCGCCTTTTAGACGTAGGTCTACACCACCCCTCCTATGCTGTATACACTATGCTGCAGCATTATATAGGATATAGTTCCTCTCTATCTATAGCTTCCCTAGGAATAGGTTGTCGCTAAGGCTATATATAGTATACGTAAAGATCTTCTCATCATAACTGTATAGCTTAAGGTTAAAGATAACTACGCCTGTTGCTTTCATAGCACCTATACTATTGCTAAAGCTGCCTAGTACCTGCTTAGAGCGGTCTACTATAGGCAGGCGGAGCTTATAGGCTAAGTTGTGGTCGATAAGGGCGTATAGGTTGCACCTAGTGTCCACTAGGGCGTCCGCCTAAGTGCCCCTATATATGCAGGTAGTGATCACTGCTGACTTGCTGCTTATATGATGCTTAAACTGCTTCTATTCTGTAATATCACTAGACTTTACCTCTAACGCCTAACTTTGCGTTAGAGTTACTCTTTTCCTGAGCTCTCTTCAGCCTCAGAACTTCTCAACTTATCTGTAGCACTATTATTGCTGCTCTCCTCTAGCTTCTTAGCTTTCTTAACCTTCTTAACCTTCTTTAGTCCTGAACGCTTTAGCTTAGGGCACTATATAGCAATATGGCCTATCTTATTACAGTTATAACATCAGCAACTATCCTTATGTGGTTGCTCACTACCCTCAGACTTAGATGAGGAGGAGTAGCGTCTGTGGCGCTGCGGTTCTATAGCTGTCTTCTTGTTCCTTACGCAGCTTATGCTGGTTATAACTATATCACTATCGTCGTCGTAATGCCTGCTTGCTTCAGGGGCTCTAGGGCGGTATGAGCTGTTCCCACGCGTTATAGCTGGAAGTCTCTCTAGCCTTGCAGCTACATCTTATATACATATAAGCTATCTATAGTAGTTATTAACAGGGAGGTCGACAGTAACAAGAGCTTGCTGGAGCTGCATACTAAGTGCTCCCTCGAGGAGGGTTATCTTCGCCTGGTCTGCCTAACTTGCTCCTCCAGCTTCTGACAGTATTCTCTCAAATTAGGGGAGAAAAGAGGCGAGAGACTGATCGTCCTGTTGCCAGATCGTTCGTAGCATAGCAGCTATATAAGAGGTAGCACTTAGGTCCTTATATATACAGTCTAAATACCTTATAAACTCAGAGGGGTCTTATTTACCCTCAGGGCCACCAGCAGCGTAGAAGGTAGCAATAACTTACTGAGGGTTAACGTCAAGGCGTGAGTTAATACAATACCAGACCTCAGCCTTACCCCCTATACACTATATATCCAGGGTTATCTTATTGCATATTTGCTGAGACTATGCTAGGTAGTCTTTATGCTTTCCTATGAACTTTAGGGGATTTAGTAGGGGCTTCTTTCGCCCTTCAGCTACCTTCACTATACCATCACTTAGAGCCTATATAGTCATATCAGCTGTAGACAGGGTTAGTATGCTACTTGCGAGCGGCGTAGGGGTTGCTCTATTTGGTGACATAAGCCTATTTAGAGCTGTCAAGAGCTGCGTTATCTAGGTCGACTGCTAGACCATCTGGTCCTAAAGAGGATGTATGCTTGCGTTCACTGCTTCGTTGATCTGGCGGTCAATTTCAGCATTCATCGCGTCCTTTGCGCTACCCTCTGGCGAATCCATCCTGTCGCACTCATGAGGTTTCATATAGCGTCTTTGTTGTTAAGCTTAGAATATATAAGGGGCTGGCCCCTAGGCTTGTTTAACGTAGAGGTGCTGTCGATTGACTATTCTAAGCTGAAGAAGGAAGAAGGGACTTTACAGGGATAGGCGCCTAGCGGCGGTGAAGCACACCGGGGCTAGGCGGTGTGCTACGGCAAAGCCGGAGATCTCGGCCGGGCTCTAGCCCGTGACAGTTTCTGGTTGTTGATAGAATTAGCATGTCGACCCATCCCAACGATCAGAGGAGGATATACTTGAATGTGCAATGATGCCAGGCGTCAGACTTGAAAGCCCACTTTTCGCAATCTTTGAACTGACCGTGGCTCCTGTCCAGAGGGCAATAATGCAGCAGATTGTCCGACGTTTCCATTAACCCGCACGAATAAGGGATCTTGGAATCTTCATCGAACATCTCGAAGGAGCAATATTTGAATGGTTTCACGGGGGGCAATTGGCAGAAGTCACCAACAGTAATGATCTGAACGCCCCCGAAGGCACCGTGTGCCGATGGTTCGTATCGACCTCGTCGAATCACGCTTAGAACGTAGCTGAGCCTCTCGAACACTTGTCTCTCGACCATGCTGATCTCATCAATAATGAGAACCTCAGTGGACTTGATCCGGGAGAAAATGTGTTTCCTTCGTGCCTTCGCGACAAGTGTGCTGTTGGCCAGGCGGAGGTCGTCAGGCCGCCATCCAATGTATGAAAAGATCGTCCTTCCTCCAATATTGACCGCTGCTTGGCCTGTGGGTGCAAGTAAGTGGACGGTCTTTCCATAGGCTGTGAGAGTGTCGTAGAGAGCCTTTACTAGACGGGATTTGCCGCAACCACCAGATTGTTACGACCCGTTATGCATGGATAACAGTTGACCGACCCACTTGGGCGTCGGGCGGCTAGGACAGGACATTTGTACTGCAGGATCACGGGAACAACAGGAACTCACTCGGCACGGAAGAACTATGGTACAAGTCACGTGACGATAAGATAAGGAAACGATCAGTGGAGCACAGGAAGGAACGCTCAGTGATCAGTTGGCTTTGCCAACTGATCGCGATCACCTCATACACCTAGGTGATCACCCTTAGATAGACAAAGACCACTGTTCAGAACTTGTATATAGTATGACCCTGAGCCTGGCTCATGGTCAGACTTCCATAGCTCTTCAGCAATCAACTTAGTACTCATCCTCACGGATACTCTCAGCTTACCTTCACTGCGAATCACTTGTTGAGTCTAAGACTGATCCCCTTAGCCTCTGAAGACCCGATCTACTACAGCCTACGAACTACGACCTACGACCACAACCCAGTATACTGTTAGAACGTATTAATCCCCAGCTTCTGTTAGCAGACCCTACTGTCGGATAGCTGACCGTAACACTTTGATTGCTCCTGTTCAGTAAGTTGACCATTGATTCCTACTAACAGTAACAAACGATAATGTCTGCCCGCGCCTCTGTTAAGTCGCCTACCCTGGGATCCTCGTCCACTTCAGGAGGACGAGCCACCCAAAACCTAGCCTAGGAACTAGGAGACCAGAAGATAAAGGACGACTCAGACAGCGAGGATGACACCAAAGAACTTAAGCGCCAGCTCAACAAGACCAACAGCAACTTCAAGGCAATGCGCGAAGTGTTCAACCAGAACGCCGCAGTCCTTAGCGAGCTCCAGGAACAAGCCCGCAAGAACCAGGATCTAGAGAAAGAAGTCGCCACCCTCCAAGCGGCCGCCAACGTCATATCCGCCCCAGTCGAAGGACGAGAACGCCTCAAGCTTAACACGCCTTCCACTTTCGACGGGACCCCAGGACAACTCAAAGGACACCTGGTATAAGTTCGAACCTACCAGGCCTTCCATATAAACACCTTCCAGAACGACACCGAATGCGTTGTACACGCAGCCACCTTCCTTTGGGGACGAGCCCTTGCCTGGTTCGAACCCCTCCAACAGGAATAGCTTGACAACCCTGTCGAAAAATACAGCCAAGAAGTCAAGGATATCTTCTTCAGCTTCACAGGCTATGTTAAGGCCCTAGAATCTCTCTTCCTTGACCCTGATGAACGAAGACAGGCCGAACGAGACCTGTCCTACCTACGACAAACCAAGTCAGCTACACTCTACGCCGCAGAGTTTAGGCGATTAGCTGCAAGACTCCACATAACCGACGAAAGCAAAGTTTTTGCCTTTTATCAAGGACTTAAGGATGAGGTCAAAGACGAAATAGCCAAACTGGAGACACCCCCTAGCTTCCTCGCCTATGTTGAACATGCTATTAAGATTGACAACCGCCTCTATAAACGACGAAAGGAACGAGGAGAGAAACGACAAAACCCAAATTCAGGACGCAAGTACTAATAGCAGCCTCAACAGAAGTTCAACAGCCAGCAGAACGACAACAGACCCTGCAACAACTGGAACAACACCCGCCAGAGCACCGCCTATAGACAACACAGCAGACCTATAGATCTCAGCATGATGACCAAACCTAATAACAAAAAACCTTAGAACCCCAAGTGCTATAACTGCAACAAGCAAGGCCACATCGCCAAAGACTGCGAACAGCCTAAGAAGCTTCCCTGGAAACCAGTGGCAGAACGACCTCGACAAGTCAACACAATTGCAAAAGCCCCACATGCATCCCAGTCGTGGACCGGATGCTACGACGATAACTGCCAAATTCACCTCGAAGACAAAGAAATATCAGGACACTACCTAAGGGATAGCAACCCTGGACGGTCTGGTTACAATATGACCACCCCAGACACTCACCCTAGGACCCTGGCAATAATGCACTCCAGCAACAGCAAAGTGGCTAGAAAACCAACTGAACAACTTAACGAGATGCTACAAATTCAGCGATTAGAACTAATCACCCCCCGCATAACTAGCTAACAACTCCACCACGAAGAACAACAAATCCAGAAGGAAATAGAGCTAATCTAGCAAGAAGACGACAGATAAGTATGACTATATTAACAATAAGAATCAGAAGAAGAACCAGAACACCAACACAATCCTCTGATGGAACAACAACTCCTCAGTATGACCAACAACTGGACTTTCGGAGAAGGAGAAAGCTCTTCCTATGACTCGGATAAACCTCGCGACGTTGCCCGATAACGCGCTCAGACAGAGATAACCTATAGGTTCACCCCCAGTGTGGACAACTCCAGCTCCAAAGAGGAACCCGACGACCAGGAAGGAAGAATCAAGCAACTTCTGAGATACCAAAAAATCGACATGCTTCAAGACAAGCAACAACGCCACTTCTATAGCACCTCAGCAGCCTAATGAGACCGAAGCTACACCCCTCAGCTACACACGGAAGATCATCCCGCGCTGAGAAGCAACCACCAGCTTCACTGAACCCTCTTCTGGCCCCAGTGCTTCCACGACAAATGCAAGGAACACATAGGAGAAAAGCACGACTACTAGTTCTACCCCAGAAGACATGACGACAAACCTATCCACGAGATCTACTCGACCTCCGTTATAATCAGATAGACTATAGTACTGTTTGAAGACAACCTTGCAGTCTTCAGACCTAGTCCTCAGTTCCCCATGAGATGTCAACATGATAACAGCATGAAATAGGACGAATGCTAATAAGACGAATGCTAAGTTCACTACTAAGAAAAGGCATAAACCTAGAGAATCGCAAAAAACGGACCTAGACCCCTACAGGTCAGAATCTGCAAAAACAGCCTCGCAAAGGCATGACGAGAAGGAAAGCAAATCACCTACCCAGGACAATCAGAGCAGTCAAAAAACTAGACTCACCTACTGATAACGGATCACAACAGGCAATAAGCATAAGATCTATTCATCAGATGTCATAAGGATATAAGGGTAATATCAAACTCAAAGTTACTATCAATCAACAGATAACACTTACGCTGATCGACAGCGGAGCTGAGGCAAACTTCATTGCCCCCTAAGCTATCAATAGGCTAGAAATACGATAGGGAGGAAAAGAACGACTATATCAGTTACACACAGCAGAAGGAGAAGAATTCAAGTACGAAGGAGGTACCATCTATAATGAGACTGCGCCCCTCGAGATGAGCTACCTAAATCGAAAAGAAAGAATCTAATTCGACATTGCCAATCTAGGAACATACGACATAGTGCTAGGACTACCCTGGCTACGAACAAGCAACCCACAGATAGATTGGAGCAAAGGCCAACTCCATTAGGACCATGATGATTTAGTCCCTGAGCAGCCCTATCAGAATCAGGCCTCAAACGAATCAATACGACGAGGAACAGCAAAACGATACCTCTGTTAACTCAAGGCAAAAGAAGCTATATCATAACCACCAACAACGATAGATCTCAAACAGAAGAACGATCCACTTCTGTCTATCCCAGAAGAATACAGAGTTTACGAGAAACTCTTTGCAGCCAAATTAGAAACCAGACTGCCCGAACACACTAGTTTCAACCACGAAATACCCCTCAAAAAAGGGAAGGAACCACGCTTCAACAAAATCTACGGACTCAACCAGACAGAGATAGAAGCCCTAGATAAGTACCTTGAAGAAAATCTCAAGAAGGGATATATCAGACCCTCAACGTCACCAGCAGGAAGCCTAATCCTATTTATACCTAAAAAGAATGGAAAACTACGATTATGCGTCGACTACCGCATGCTTAACGAAATGACGATTAAGAACTGCTACCCACTACCACTTATCGACGAGATGAGATAACTCCTCTATAGAGCTAACTGGTTCACAGCCCTCGACCTCAAAGGAGCCTATAACCTGATCAGAATGAAGCAAGGAGAAGAATAAAAGACTGCTTTCAGAACACGAAAAGGACATTTTAAGTACCTCGTCATGCCCTTCAGCCTTACTAACGCCCCTGCAACATTCCAAAATATGATCAACTAAGTTTTACGCAAATATATCGACATCTGCGTAGTAGTCTATCTTGACGACATCCTCATCTTCTCATCGACACCTGAGAAACATAAGGAAGACGTACACTACGTCTTATAAGCCCTCTAAGAAGCTAAGCTATTAGTTGAACCTGAGAAAAGCGAATTCCACACACAGAAGGTGGAATACCTCGGATTCACTATCACCCCTGGAAAAGTCTGTATGTCAGAAAACAAAGTCAAAGCCATTAAGGAATGGCTGGTACCTAACAACCTCAAGGAAGTCCAAGGATTTCTAGGTTTCGTCAACTTCTACTGCAAATTCATCAAAGACTATGGCAAGATTAACGCAGCTCTCATAAGCCTCAGCCGCAAAGACACGCCCTTTATATGGGAAGAACCACAACGAACAGCATTCCAGAAGATCAAGGACCTTATCGCTAGTGAGCCCGTCTTAAGCATCCTAGATCCGACAAAACAGTTCGAAGTAGAACCTGATGCATCCGACTATGCGATAGGAGCATAATTATCTCAACGAGATTCAGAAGGACGACTACACCTATGTGCCTTCTTTTCTCGCAAGCTCCACGGACCTGAACTCAACTATCAGGTTCACGATAAGGAACTTATGGCAATCATCGAAGCCTTCAAGGAATGGAGACCTGAGCTCTCAGGAACCACACACGAAGTACTTGTGTATTCAGACCATAAGAACCTCTCACACTTCACGACTTCAAAAGTGTTGAATAAACGACAGATTAGATAGTTAGAATTCCTATCAGAATTCAACTTCTGAATCATCCACCGCAAAGGATCAGACAATAGCAGAGCTGACGCTCTCAGCTGACGACCAGACTATAACGTCCTAGTACCTGAAGAAACCTAGGTGATTCTCAAAGGAAATAATAACGGAGACCTAGTGCTAGCAACTAAACTCTTGATGATGGCTGGACGATCTAGTAATAGCCCGCCTAACGAACTAGACGACGAAGCAATTATGGAGTTTCACGCTCGTCCTGCATATGGTCACTAAGGAATCACAAAGACCTAGAAACGACTACGACAATAATACGGAGAAAAGGTCACTAGAGAACGAGTGGCAAAAGCAATTAAGGATTGTGAGGTCTGCCTGAAAAGCAAACCTGCTTGACATCAGCTGTACGGCATGCTACAACCCTTGCCTGTGCTGCAAACCGCCTGGCAATCTATATCCCTCGACTTTATCGTCAAGCTACCGAAGTCTTGAGAACCTCTTATGGGAACACATTTTGACAGCGTTCTTGTTATTATAGACCGACTCACGAAGTACGCCTACTTCATCCCGTACAAAGAAGTAAGTAACGCCGAAGAATGTGCCTATATATTTCTTAAATATATTATTGCTAACTATGGAACGCCCAGAGAGATTATATCAGACAGAGATAAGATCTTCACTTCTAAATTCTGGAAGTTAATCACATCACAACTCAGCATCAAACAATCAATATCCACTGCATTCCACCTGCAGACCGACAGACAAACAGAACGAATCAACCAAATCCTCGAAATATATCTCCGCGCCTATGTTAACTATAACTAAGACAATTAGGTTGTATTGCTACTAATAGCCCAGTTCGCCTATAACAGCGCAGTAGGAGAAAGTACTAAGGAATCCCCCTTCTACCTCAACTATGGATTTGAACCAACCGCCTATAGAGAACCCCGAATAGGCCTAGCTGCAGTAAAAGCTGTCGCCTTAATACGCCAAATCAAGGATATCCAGGAAAACGCACGCAAAGAACTTGAATTCGTACGACAAAGAATGACAAAATTCAGCAACAAACGAAGGATTGAGGGACCAACCTTAGAAGAGGGAGATAGCGCCTATCTCATACGGCGAAACATCAAAACAAAGCGACCAAACGACAAACTCAACTATAAAAAACTCAGACCTTTTAAAATTTCACGAGTAATCTCACCAGTCAACTACGAACTAGAACTCCTAGAAACCATGAAGTGTCACCTAGTATTCTATGTCTCACTCCTCGAACCAGCACCACGTGGATCACAGACAAACGATATTATTATCGTCGAAGATAACGAACCAGAATACAAAGTTGAACGAATTATCAACCATCTTAAGGAACCAGAAGGGTATTAATACCTCGTCAAATAGAAAGGATACGGACATAAAGATAATATATGGGAACCAGCCAAAAATATCACCAACGCAGCAGAAGAACTTACGATCTACTGGCAACAACACTAAGAACGAGAAGCCACACTAACACCTGTTGTACTAGTCCAAAAGAGCGCTGGATATAAACGAATTAGGCACCCACATCGCTTCACCAGACCACCTACTGAAGCCGATCGACCGCAATAAGGAAAACCATTTATCCGCCTAGGGACACCAGAAATCAACTAAGACGCCTCCGATAAGAAGTTTGGAGTGCTAGGATTCCAGTCAAGAATCAAGTCTAGATCTACCGTACCAAAGCCACCTATAGACTGAACCTCCGATACAGAAGACGCCACTAGCTCCTCCTCGGTAACCTCCCAACCTTTCCGAAACACTATTCTCTTCTGCTTACGCAAACGATCTAACCGCGCCATGGACTCATCCAACTCAGCCTGCGCGGCACGCAAGGCAGCAGCCTTCTTTCTTAACACCTCCTCTTCAGCCACCTCCGCATCCTCCAAACGAGCTGCTTCGTCTAACAAGCGATCAACTACGAGAAAGTCAGCACTAACTATGAAGCATAAGGAAAAACAAAACGTACGAGCATAAATAGCGTCTGCTGCTGCATCATAAGACTGCCCTAGGCGAGTATATTCGCCACAAACTTCACCGCCCGGAAGAAGTTTGCAACGCTTCCCTGCGGAACGACAGTAAGAACAAGGCATGTTGACAACAAAACCAAACTCGGCGATACGCAGCGCACGATTGCGACGACGAAGAGTAGAGGCAGAACTCGATTTCGATTTTTGAACGCGACCTGATATGGTGTCAGCATTATGGGTAAATCAGGAAGCACGATTGACGGATCCCCAACCTGGGACTAACGACCTACTTATGTTGGGTCTTGAGGGCAAGACCTTTGGAGAGGGGACCTGATGTTACGACCCGTTATGTATGGATAACAGTTGACCGACCTACTTGGGCGTCGGGCGGCTAGGATAGGACATTTGTACTGCAGGATCACAGGAACAACAGGAACTCACTCGGCACGGAAGAACTATGGTATAAGTCACGTGACGATAAGATAAGGAAACGATCAGTGGAGCATAGGAAGGAACGCTCAGTGATCAGTTAGCTTTGCCAACTGATTGCGATCACCTCATGCACCTAGGTGATCACCCTTAGATAGATAAAGACCACTGTTCAGAACTTATATATAGTATGACCCTGAGCCTGGCTTATGGTCAGACTTCTATAGCTCTTCAGCAATCAACTTAGTACTCATCCTCACGGATACTCTCAGCTTACCTTCACTGCGAATCACTTGTTGAGTCTAAGACTGATCCCCTTAGCCTCTGAAGACCCGATCTACTACAGCCTACGAACTACGACCTACGACCACAACCCAGTATACTGTTAGAACGTATCAATCCCCAGCTTCTGTTAGCAGACCCTACTGTCGGATAGCTGACCGTAACACAGATCTACGGAATCAGCTGTGAGTTGATGTGCTAATCACTAGATTATCTTTCATTCATGTACATACCCAGTGATGAACAGATTTTCTCCGTTAATTGCCAGCTCTAGCGCGCGTTGTTGTTTGGACAGAGGGGTGGTAGCTCGGGCGGCGTTGGCGGTGCGACCTCATCCTCCTCATCAAAGCTCTTTTCACCTCGTAGTTCGTTGTTTGCCGATGCGACAAACGCGTCGCGAGAACTTTCAGGGTACTTAGAAGGATCATTCAGACGCGGGCGCTTGCTTGACGAGGCTTCGCTCGGGAAGCCATTTCCAGCCTTGACAGAAGACCCAGCAGCAGTGCGTTGAGGTTTTGTTGGCGAACGCGGCAAATGTCCCGCCATGGACTCCCTAGCGAAACCTTCACGAAGAAGTTGCATCTGCTGTTCGTTAGTCGTAGTTGTAAGGGCAGAAGATTGGGCTCGCGGCTATCTCCCAGGTTGACGCTGAAATGCCTATCGTGATTAGCATTCGTTAGCTAAACGATCAAATACGAGTGTATGTTCTTAGTGAAAATACTTTTACTTCGCACTCTTCCTCCCGTCTGCTCTTGAGCACCACCAGGGCCCGCCCAGTTCTTAAAAATGCCGCATGTTTTCCCGGCGTAGATAACGTAGTACATGCGAATGTCCCTTCGTTGTTCGATTGCAAGTTGGTCGCGATTCCGTTCAATGTAATTGTCTGCCTCCTTCCAACTCCATTCGGAGGGCTCGTTTTCACCTTTGATTTTATCAAGACCGCGCTTTTTCCCGATATTGCCAGTGCTGAAATACTTGTTGATGATCAAGACGCGTCGCGTCAGGGCGCATTGTGACCTAGGTATTTCCCGTCCTGATGAGTCAGCAAATGAGGGGCTCTAGCAAAGTTCAATCTCGGCGCCCAAAATCTCCAGCTTTCTTTTGTGGTTTCAGATTCCTTCCTTTCTACCTACCTTATTCGCTCACTACCTAGACAGGAGTGAAACCGCTGCGTGGGTCGTTGGACAGGCATTAATCCTAAGCTTTGGCTTCCCCGGTCAAAATAGCTCTTCTGTTAGTGAAAGGGCGCGGTTATGAGCAGCCCTGAACGTAGGAACTGGAAAACCAGCGCAAAGAAACGACATTACCAGGCACACAGGCTGGAGGCTAAAAGTTGGCCGGGAATCAGATCTCACGTGATATTTGCTAGACGCAATCTACGAATCACTAAATCAGTTACTAGCCCGATGTTGGAACACCATTGCATCCTCCTTTCCTAGCGCTGTTTTCCTCCCTAAGAACCCATGATTGGGATGCAGCAAGCCTCGCAAAGACTGGCGTGTACCTGAGTGAGAATCCGCGTCCAGCCGCTTCTTGGCCGTTTTGGTGATGTGGGGGTATCTGAGTAGTAAATGTCAGCCACGAAACAATCTGCAAGTATGGGCCACACTCAGGTCGTGGCGGAAGTGGCTTGCCTTTTACATGAAAGCTTAGTCAAATCCATAAGAACAACGAGACTTAATTTTGGTTCGTGTTCCCGGTGAGATGCCGCACGCATTGACGACGGCGGGATCCGCCGCGGCAGCGTAACACGCATCATCAAATTCGTTGCCTCCGAGGAAAGGGTGCGGGATGATGGGCCACGCGCGCGTGCCATAGCACTCTTGCTTCTTGAAGTTCATCTTGGAAATTGTTGGCGCATTCGGGTCGCCGTAGTGCACGCCGAAGAACTTGTCTTGCGGATAATAATTGCAAGCGGCTTGCGTTAAGCAGAGGTCGTGGTCCGGTACTTGCTCGCTGTTGCACCAGCAGAAGTGATGTCTATCGGCGAGTGTGCCAAGTGCGAGCGCACAAAACAGAACAAAGAGTCTAACAAACATAGTCGATATTACGAACGCCAAATGAGTGTGGTTGAAGCTGGGAATGAGAGGCCTATTTGCGAACAACTATTGAGGTCCTCCGCCCGTTATTATCAATAATTCCAGAGTCACGATGCATGATCATTTACACCAATGTGTTGATAGACCACTCTCCGCGGGTTGACACGAGATAACCCGCGAGGATGGCGTAAGATCGGTGTTGCCGAAAGACGTGGAGATGTCACGGACGATCCGTTCCAGGCTGGGAAACTTTCGCTGGGAAAGACCCAGAGCCCTCATATTTTATACTTCAACACACTGACTCAATTACTATAATTCTTCTGCACCACAAACAACCTCAACGTAACGCTGCAATCGCGTGCTCGAGCTTCAGATTCCGTCAACGTCAAATCCTTCCCGTGTCCATTCCTTCTGGGAACTTTTTGCCTGTTTGGGGACGTCATCTGAGCCCTCATTCGCTGCTCAACCAACAACTGGAGTTGCGGCTTCCATCGCCGCCGACCCCTAGCTTTCTATAATTAGGGTACCCCGGCAAATCATGCGGCCTCTGCTGCGAAGCGATCTTATCACGCCCTAAATCAATATAGCAAAAATATTGAGATCAACTATTCTCTCTGCTTAGGTCTCATCGGCAACAGCGAAGGACCTGACTTTGCAACATTAGGGCTGACACTCATCTGAGATAAGCTTCATTCTTACGACTCAGATCCTTCACCTGCCAAGCTGATAACTCCGTTTGGGACAAATGCCAACTCCCCTATCTCAATGGTTTCCCGCAAACAAGCGCTCTCCCATTGGCCATAGTGGCCCGCTGGCAAGCTATCACGCGAGAGCGGACATCCGGTTCGGCGTGGGATATCTCTCCACACATTCGTCCCTTACCAATTACTCTTAATATGTTCCCAGAGTCATTAGAGATATGGTTGAATGGACCTTGCCGATTGCGCAATCCCCCCTTATCTGGCTAGACCGCACCTCGGATGGTGGTCACGATAGCCGCTGTATTTACCGCCATAAGCTGGGTGTGTGCCAGGCAACCCAGAGAAATATATCATCGTCGAGGGAAACCTTGATGATTCTTCCAAACTCAGCGTTCATCTGCAGTCGGTCGTTCACAGTTCCATATACCCAGTCGCGGTTTGGTTTTGATCGTTGTGCTAGCGCCTCTTTTGTTTTGTTTCGCTCCTCGTCATGCGTTACCAACATATAATCGCGACTTGTGTCGCGTTGTTAATGTCAAAGAGCGTTGCCACACCAGTCCCAGTCAGCAACAACGACATCAGCCTCCCCAGACCTACGATCTTAGATACCCGGCAAGCAACTTGCGAAACAAAGGCACTTTCCAACCAAACATGGATAGAGGAAGATGTCGACGGCTTCTTGGCAAACGCTTCGCAACATTACATTCAATACCCCAACAACAATATTCAAGCACTGGGAGCCTACCTCGGCGCACCCAACTTCTTTTGCGGCGTTAACGAATGGTGCAATGCTGGACAGCCATGCTCCCCGGTTCAACTTCCTGGCTGGTACGTCATATCTTGTTGAGCCTCATTGTCTTCGACTTCCGCTAACAATACCTAGGTATGCGCTGATGGGCATCCAGGGGTGGAACAACTATGTCAACAACCTCAACCTCGCTGTGACATACACAGCAGCTATCTTGGGCATGCGGCTTTCCAAGATGGTTACCGAATTGTGGCCGAAGCCAAAGGACAACGTCACAGGATGGAAGATGGCCATCGCGTGGATGAACGGTATCCTCAACGCTTTCCCAACCACTGCAGTGTTTGGAGCTGTTCAAGGTGGTATCGCCTCAGCAGTACAGGGAAACAACATCATCGTCAGCGGTATGTTGCTGGCGCCGAGCGCGGACAAGGAATTCGTAAGGTGGACTGCCATTGGGGACCAGATGGGCCAGAAGTTGGATGAATACAAAAAAGCCATCGGCCAATACGCGCAAAACATCATCGACGCACCCATCAACGACACCAAGTGGGGCATCAACACGGTCCTCCACGGCGGCAACTACCTCGTCCGCAACAAGAACTTCACCCAAGACGACGTCGAGAACTGGATGTACAAGACCGTCAGCATCAACGCCATGGGTCTGATCCTGCAGGCCCAGAACGTCTTCATCTTCCGGGTCTACAACATGACGGAATGCGATCCCAACGATTACTACAAGGACTACAGGAGCGCCTTCTACTGCCAGCAGCAGCCCAACGGCCTGTGGACCAAGTACCGCCTCCAGAAGAAGGGCAGTGACGACTTCGTGCCCGAACATCGCCTCGCATCCAAGCTGCAAGACGTGTACGGCCTGACTAAGGAGGACATCTTCCTCGGGCCCACAACCTGCTTTGACACGCACGACTACGAGCAGCTGACCAACCCTTGGGAAGAGGTGTCACCAAACGGCGTTCTGTTCGACGCAATGCAGCCTTGCAACTTCAACTTGAATGTTTGCACAGTAGACAACGCAGAAAAGGACCTTTATGGAAAGTCTGAGTTTGATTACTACGAGAACGAAGGCGATTGGTGGTGCGAATTGCAGGGTATCACATGGGTTTAGCGATTGCTTAGTTTTTGTAGTTTGTGGAATATGAAGAAACGATTTATGTTGAACATCCAGTGTCTGAGCTGTGTGCAGAGATGTGTATACTGATAATTGCCTTCAGCCTATGTAGATACAGCGTGAAGTGATACCTGGCTTAGGCACACTGTTATCGCCTTTATGTCCCACCATGTGGCATCAGCGTCAGGAATGATCATGCTAATTTGTGCTGGGTTAAGGCTTACATAAATCAACCCACCTTTCAAGCTTCTTGCCAGGCAACTGGAAGGGTGATGGTGCAAAACGACGGAGACTCATGCAAGACAGACTTTCGACGGAGCACACAGACGCGAGCTAGATAGTGCATCCATTGCTTGTCAAAATTGTCTTGCGGTTGACTACAATTTGTATGAGCGTAAAGTGCTGTGCTCAAAGCATGGTCATACTATTCGTATGTTTGCAGCCTGCCGGACAGTCGGTGCGTAAAGGACGATTCCTTCGGGAGACCGATCATTTTTAAGGTTGTTGTTCCGCCCAACTTGACGGGCCTCGATCTACGATCGCGTCTGAAAAAAGGGTAAATATAGTTCGGTTATTGAATTAGGAAACCGAAAGTCCTGTCTTGGCGTTTTGGTTGGCTGAGTCGCATCAGATGACTAGCCATCTCGCGGGGAAATTTAACCCTCGGCCCAGGAGCAACCAAATCTCAAACTCACGGACAGACACATGTGCAAACTATCCCCGACGGAATTTACCCACCTATCTAGTGTTAGAAGTGGTTTTTGCGATGAGCGTAAATGCCAAATGTGAAGATTCTATTGTACTCTCGACGCCGCCAGCGAGACTCACATGAGATCTATGCTTTTCACGCAGCAAAGTGTTTCTGTCAAACACGTAGGAAGTAGCTAGTCAAAGGTCTTTCAGAATTCATAATGGGAATTGCTCCTTGCACGCTCTGTCATTCGCTCATGTTACTTGACAATCTCTTTCGGCGGGGAATTTCCGCGGCCAAATGCAAATACAATTGCTACCCGAAGCTTGAAAATGCCCTATGCTGTGGGTATAAGTCGCCGTAACTCACACTCCAAAGGCCATCGGACAGCCTCTAGCTTGTGATACTCGTTCTTTTGTCATATCCATGTACTCCTTGCCCTTGCCCCTTTGGGAATCAGGTCCTACTTCGGGAATCAAATAACCGTCAGGATGGTATTTAGTGCCCTCATCTCCAGGAAGGCGGCCGCCGATGAGACGGCTATAGATAGCTGCAGGCCCCCATCGTGAGTAGAAGGTAGGCTTGACGTAGTATGGATGGGCCAAATAGGTCGGCAAGTAGTATCGGCAAGTCTTCTTGTCGATATCCTTTAGCATTGGGTTGGTCCACCATTTGGGCCTCGGAAGACAAAGATTCCTCAGAACCCAGCGGCGCGTGTTCATGATAGCGTTAAAGACGGAAAATTGAAAGTTGCTAGGGTCCTCGTAACTAGAATGAAGGTCAGTAACCAAGAGTTGCAACCAAGACCAGTTTACCACTACTCACCCCATTGCATGTCTCAACTGTGTCTCCATCAAACATCGCAGTTGCGCAAACACGAAGCTGTGCGACCACTTCGGAAGATCCAGAAGTAGTAGGTGCACGTTTGCATGTGCTAGCTTCTCATTCGGCACTGCGTAAACCATATACTTCTCCTGGTAGTTGATGCTCCAGATTTGCAGAGCATCCAGCCAGGCGATGGCATCGTTTTTCTCAGCCATGTGCGGGATCAAACAGTCGTAGGAAATCTCCATCTCCTTGCCCAAGTCTCTCCAAAACATCGCCATGGCATTCTTCTCGAGCATGGTCAGATCTCGCCACTCGTACCTGGCGGTCCAGCGCACTGGCTCGAGGGCGAAGAGGCTCAGTGTATAGAGCAAGTCGTCGTTGGAGATCTTCCCAGCTTTACGCCAGCGGTCGTGGAGGAAGTTGACGCGAGCGATAGCTTCGATGCTACGAGGACACTCGGGCTTGTTCATCATGATTTCTGTCATCAAGACGCCTGTATCGGTGCGCCGCTTTGAGGCTGTGGCGTCGCCGGAAAGCTGACTGGTAGCGACAAGAAGCTTGGAAATAGTCGGAATTCCGTATGTCTATTCCAGGGTTTAGTCTTCAAAATGAGCGTAAATAGTAGCAGGAAAGCAAACCTTGAATAGTGCAAAAGATACTGATGTGTAAAAGATTGTGGGGAACTCTTGCTCTGAGAGCTCCCGAATTATTGCGGCAGCATCCGAGAGCGACATGGACGCCATTTCCTCCCTCGTCTTGTACGGATGTCTTTTCTGGAAGTCATCTCGGCGCCGATATCTGAGGAACCGTACGAGAAGAAGATAGGAGACGACTGCAGCAATAACAGGCAAATAAAACATTGTGAAAATTTATTCTTCAGAGGGTCAAAGTTGCACTCAACACATT